TCCTCGGATAAACACTAATGCATTGCCATTGCGACTTACCTATCTATGGTGAGTTCACAGCTGAACGGGCATTTCAAGCATGCTATCTGAATTCCTGATTGGTTGACAGCAAATTTCAAATATTAAATGGAACGATAAAATAACGTTATTAACCGCTTAATGGCCCTTTCAAATGTTCGATTCTGTTCGGAACTATAAAATTTGATTTTGTTTCGGTTTCTGGTTCTGTTCCTGTCAAAATGTCGCTCGTTTCCGGTTTTCGTTTTCGTTCCTTGAACCGGTTCAGAGCCCTGCTGTTAGGTACATAGCCTATATGTTTTCATTCACCAGTAATGTTTTGCCTGCAAGGTGATCTGAAAGAATTCAAGCACCAGGTCTAATTCATATTTTGTTAATTAGGCCTATATAAACGAACAACCTTGCATCACATATTGCTTTGATGGGAAGATTAGGCTATTAGCCTGACTTGGATTTCGTTCAGCAAAATGAACAAATCTTTATTCAAGTCATTTCGTTCATTTGAGCAGAATTAAATTAAAATGTGACATTTTATAGCCAAATTCTCCAAAATGTTTTTTTTTTATTTTCATCATATTCCATATTGAGAAATCGTGATAACACCAGCCAAACACAAATTACGCGAAACGATTAATGATTTTTCTTCACTCATCTGCCTTTTTGTCCGTGTTATTGACTCCAAGCCACCTCCTGAAGAATTCTGTTTATGAAAGAAAGGATGATGTGCATGTGTAGTCACAAAAGCAATGAACGAACTGCTCTTTGAGAAAACTCATTTGCTCTCAACTTACATATAACTTAGGAGTCGTTTAAAATTAAAACCTTTAGTCTTGGTATATTGGTCACAAGTGATAATGATTAACAATAAGGTAAATTTTGTGTTGTTTATTGTGTCTTATTGGCATAAATGTTCTCATTCGGCCAGGTCATTTCAGGGTTTATGTCTTGACCTTGCTGAAGTTTGGGTCTTGTTTAGTCTGGATCCTTATCTGAATAAAGGATATTCTTTGAACCACTGCTCTCTTCGACTGTAATTGTTTTTAATACTCAGAATAAATGGATAGACTTTCATATTTCTGTTTTCTTCTTTCCAGTAATCAGGAATGCCTCTTTGCTGAAAAACTAAATAACATAAGTACATTTGGGTTCATCTATTTCCCTCTGGCAACATTGGAAAGGGCATCTCAAAACAGCAACGCATACACAATAATGAAAAGCTTTGTTTTCCAGAAATGCTGCAGTGTGTGAAACACAGTTCATTTGAGGATCTGCAAATATTTCATTTTCTATCACTGTCAGTTGAACTAAAGAGAAATGTGCAATTTACCATTCTTTTCAGGGGTGAAAACCATTGAGCAATTCTTGTCAAAAGAAAGCATTCCAGGAACACCTTGGAACAGGTCTTCGTGTATCATCTTTTCTTCTGCATAAATAGATTGTCACAATTTTAACACAAAGACAAGAACTACAAACTCACTGCAGGTGTGTCCTTCACTTGACTAAATTTCTAAGAACATAATAAAACATAAAATATAGGCCTATATTTAAAGAGCATCTATACTGACACCTTGTGGAGGAAACTGTCTAAACAAACAGAAGTTGTGGTCATCACCTGTCATCTGTTGTTATAGTGCAGTTCCAAGAATACTTCAGGTTCTGTGAGGACACTTTCATTCTGGTGCAGAGGCAATCACCCCAAAAATGATCTATTTTAAACGTCTTCTACAACCTAATCCTTTAAAACATGAAAGATGAAATCAGTAAGTCTTTGAAGTCCTTCTAAATCAGTGGTTCTCAACCAGGGGTCTGGGGGACCATAACCACAATTTAGTATATCAATTTCTGTTATTAAAAAGTTTGAAAACATGCACTTTTGCCATAAATGCAGAATACATATTTTCAGTGCTCATTTTGTGTCGGACAAAGCGGGCCCTTCCAGTCAAAAAGACTGAGAACCACTGTTATAAATGGGATAATCTGTAAAAAAGAATTTATTTTAAAAATTGTAGAAAGACATTTTTGAATATGAGATTTTTGAAACCTTATTGGAGGTACATTATACTAGAAAATGTTTTCACTGGTAGTTTTTCTATTTTAAAATTTCATGTTCAATTGAATGTGTTACTTTGACATTTTCTTTGTAATTGTGAGTTGTTATGGGTGCATCTTGTTTCTACAGTGTAAAAAAACTGAAGGGCAATTCATAGTGTGCAATATGATGTAATAATGTCCAGTCTTTTTGATTATTTGTTTACTGTATGATGAGTGTGATGAGTTTCACAGTTTGTCTTGTTTTGTATAATGTTGTATATCCGTTTCAATACACTACAGAAACATAAGCATGAAAAAATGATTTTTGGACATTTTAGTCTATGCCTATTTTAATTAAGCGGGAGCTTTCCTTGAAGATCATCATAAGTTGATTAGGAGGAATCTGCCATTGAGAGCTGCGATGAACAGCCCAAGCCACATCGAAGTGCTGATATACCCTCTCAACCCACGACAAGGCTCTTCTGTACTTTCCTTCTTCAGTAGAATTTATACTGTATATACAGCTGGCATGATGCAGATTATATGTTATAAAATTAGCCCGAAGTTTATTAATCACTGTCAGTGTGAGGATTTTGATAATGGTATGCATTAAAATACCATTTTATACTGACTTTGCATCATAAGACAAAAACTCGTATGCTTTCTATGGAAAAAAAAAAACACTCAGACACAGAGTTTAGGCGTTTGTGCAGCGCCCCTGCTGGAGTGCATTGGTAATAACTTTATTGCAAAAATACAAGTTCACTCAACCTCAAGCATTTACAAATGAGTCCCCAATGGAAAACTTTGAAATGCCATTTCATCTTTGAGAAATCCTCCTCCCACCGGCTACAACGTGCATTCAAAGGCTGTTAACTGTACAGACATTAATAAGTAAAGATTCGACAATTCATCAGGAAATCATTTTCTTCCTCAGTATATAGGAAAAAAAAAAAAAGTATTTGATTTTGTCCCAGTCTGACTCGTTGCTGGTAGTTCAGGAGAGAGCATTTTGCATAGCATACTCATACACCACCTTTGCTACATTCTCAAAAATACTTTAAATGAAAGGAAATATGAATAAATGACAAAAAAACATATCTTTGTGTTAGAGCCAATCTTTGGTTAAGACAGAGTTAAATAAGATCTAGATCTCTGTACGTTATTTCTTTTATAATCATTTTAATTTCAGCACTCAAAGGCTTTTAATGAAAAAAATAATACATATCACAGCACAATATGATTAGAATGAAAAGTGAAATACTGCATTAATCATATTATATTGTGATATGAATCATCTGTTGATCAGTATTGGAGTATCGTTAATATATCTCACAAATCCTATTACGTTTATTTGAATAACAGTATGAAAGCATTCCTTGCTCAAGGCCCCATATACATAATACTGTCCAAATTGCAGGCTATCTATGCTATCAGGGCCGAACATTCTTCAGCTGTGTTGATTAAAGTAAAATCTAGAAATAATATAGATTCTACAAAAAATCGAATGGAATGAAACCCCTCAATCATTACAGGCCTGAAGATCCATCATGTGCCAGACTCATAGCTGTGGTTTCAGTGTCACTGCAAGTTAAAAAAAAAATCGAATCAAGTAAAATAAACAATAAAAAGGAAGCTTAACTTGGCATATCTCCCTGTATAAATGGGAGAACTGTCAATGGAATTAAAATAGCAGTTTTTCTCCAGCTTTACACTTCTGAAGTGTACTATACTTGTCTTAATGCAGATAATAATTATTACCACTAGAATTGATTAACATTCCATAACGTCATTGCGTAGTTTCTCCATTCCTCTGTATATTCCTTAAGATGTTGTAGTTTTTTTATTAACAATAAATTCATTTGTTAGTGTATGTTCAGTCAAACATGTACACAGTCTTTGCCTGTAATACGAGACACAAAACAGCTGTGTGCTACAGGGAATGCCCGTATCAGAGAAATAGGAGGAAAAAGGTTAGAAGAGACGGTCTCATTCCACAGATTTACATGCCTGCTTCGACAAAAAGCACCAGAGCTGAGAGATGACACCGTACAAAACATCTTGATTCACTTAGTACAGGTTGAAGTACTTAGCATCTACATGTACATGTACATGACATTAACCCATCCTGCTACCAAAAAACGTTCGCAGGAGAGTTGCTTGGGAAAAAATGTTCAGCAAAGCGATGACGATTCTGTGACGTTGGTTTGCTGAGAACTTGTATCTGTGGAACAGGCGAGGAGAAAGGGTAAAGAATGGTTTTTATTACCCTATCGGTCAAAAGTTTGGAATAATTAAAATGTTTTTAATATCTCGTAAGCTCACTAATGCTGCATTTATTTGATAAAAAAGATTATAAAAACACTATGAAATATTATTACAATTTAAAATAACTTTTATATTTAGATATATTTTAAAGTGTAATTTATTCCATTACTCCAGTCTTCAGTGTCACATGATCCTTCAGAAATCGTTCTAATATGCTGATTTGGTGCTCAAGAAACATTTATTGATACAATTATAATCAATGTTAAAAACTGTCAAGCTGCTAAATATTTCTTTTGAAATATATTCAAATGAAAAACAATGCTTTAAATTGTAATAATATTCACAATTTTACTGTTTTTACTGTATTTTTGATCACTTGAGACATCTTATTAAAAATATATATAAAAAAATCTTAATCATTCCAAACTTTTGACCTGTAGTATAAATGAGGGCAGGGTTACAATAAGCCCCTCCACTTTTACCACCCAACACATGCACACACGCATACACACAAACACACATTTACCGTCTAGTGCAGCAAGGAGGTACCGTATGCTTCTCCTCTGCAATTAATTGAATGTTGGGGTTAATTAAGTTAAGTGCTCTGGGTTGGATGGCTCACTGCGGGAGTCCAAATCTGGACCCCACGCTCCTATCATTGCATGCTGAAAGTCTAACTATAGGTTAGTCATACACACACACCTCAGCCCCAAAGAATCACGCCATCCCAGTGCTCATAAATAAAAAAAAAGTTGGTTTTGGTGTCTCTTTCCGTCATGCTGTGGATCGAGCTTCAGGGGCTTCTGCATGGAAAGATTTACCGACTATAGCAGGGTAACAGACGGGCATCATCCCAGGAACAATACAGAGTGCAGGGTGATTGAGGATGGCATCAGGTCTCTGAACGTGCTCCTTTCAGTTCTCCAGGAAACTGTGAAGAGAATGGGATGAGGTGTGCAGAAGGGAACAAACACATCTGTGGAAATGTTCCAGGGCTGGAGGACCTGGTCCAAAGCCAATTGGTTGGGTGAGAACTTCAGAGAGGATGTCTTCCAATACACCTCACTGCTGGACCGTAGTGCTTCCCACTGGAGAGAGCTTGACGCCGGTCAAACACAGCCAGAAACTCGGAGAACCTCTGGAGACGTCCTGCAGTGGGGTAGGATGGAGTGTGAAGGACAGGAACCAGACCAATCAAAGAAAAAAAGCAACAACGAAAGAGGAGCTCCTTCAACAGCAGGAAACGAAAATGAAGCGAATGCAGACTGTTTAGTGGGGGGGCCACTGGCACCTGGACTCAATTGCAATGCAATGGCAGAAACATGAATGCGGAACAAGAGGGAAATGGCCCTTTGAATGGATGAGGTGGTTATGTATGTGGAAAACAAGAGTGAGCTTTACCTGGGGCCTCTCTGGAAGGCCCAGGCTTCTGAGACGGGGGTGAAAATGATGGAAGAAGATGAAGATAGCTGGGTTGGAGCAGATGGAGGTCTGAATGAGACAATGGAAACTGAAGGCAACTAGGTGAGTACATGGAGCTGTGATATGGCGTAATCCCGGAGTCCCCCAGCTAGGTACACACACAACACACACATACATTGATATGAACAAGGCAGAGGAAAGAGAAAAAAAGAGGAGAAAAGAGAGGTAGGATGGGGAAAAGGGAAGAGATGGGGAGCACAAAAGTAAGGCATGAAAAGAATCAGGGGCCTTATTTATAAAATGCACATAAAATCAGATTTGATCCCAAGTCAAAAATGAGGAACAAATTGAGATTTATTTAAAGTGATGGTTCACCCAAAAATGAGCACTCTGTCACAATTTACTTGCTCTCTTATGGTTTCAAACCTGAATTACTTTCTTGTGGAACAAAACAAGATATTTAAAAAAAATTCTTAGCCTTTTTTTCTTAAGTTTTGGACCCCAATGACTTTCGTTGTATAGACCAAAGCAGTTGAAACATTCTTGAAAATATCTTCTTGTGTATTCAACAGAAGAAAGGAAGTCATACAGGTTAGGACTGAAGTGAGTGTGAGTACATGATCATAATTTTCATTTTTGGGTGAACTATCCCTATAAAAACTAATGTGAAAATGTTCATACACGAAAGACAATTAAAATGCAGCCATATAAGCTATTTTTGTAATCATGAACTGGTATGCCAGTGCACGCTGACATGATTTTCTAATCATTTCAAGTGATGCAAGAGCAATAAGTCAGTGAGTCAGTGAGTGAATAATTGAATGAATGAAATGAGTAACCACAATTACACGCAAAATAATATACTAAAACACTATACTATTATTCATGCATACTATAATATTATTTATGCATCATTATCAAACAAGCATATTTTTTATCTATTTTTCATTACCATATATATATATATGCCATATAAGCATAAATCAATATTTAAAAACAAAACTATTTTATATTTCTTAAAAAAAAAGTGGCCAACATTTTTCAATTCATACTTCAACCTACTGTCTGCTAATGTTGAGGACTTGAACTTGAGGAATTATTAGATTAAATTCTTAATAAATGGCAAAAGTGGGGACTGGTGAATAGTGGAAAAGAATGTCCTATTTATTTTTAAACTCTCAAATAGCTGGAGCGGGTAAACCACTTTTCAGAGTAAAGGATTAATGAGAACATGGTCTGAAAAATAATGTGCATGTAAATGAGATGAATGAAAAATTGATAAAAATGGATCACTGACAGGATAATGAATTAAATATGTATATATACAGTATGGCCAGAAACTAGAATCTAGCAACCGAATTTGATGCATTACCTATTTCATATGCACTCACTTATGTACAAAATAATTTAATAAAGCAAGAAGGAATTGCGAACATTTTTAAAATGTATACGAATGCATTTGGTAAGATGACTTTATGCATGTCTTTATAAATGAGACACCAGGCCTTTTTTCGAATGTAGTGAAGTTACAGCATATGGACACAGGATAGCAGTATGACTCAGTAAGACAATGAGAAGTTGTGCATGTGTATTTGAGTGTCCTTGTGCAATGGTGCACGTGGATGTCATGTGACAATACAGCTATGCATTCATATATTTCTGGCATACATTATATATTAGAAATGTATGAATGCCAAAACACACTATATACACCAAATAGCTTTGAAAGACAGCATCTGCTATAAAAATAACTGTAGATGTAAATGCAGAGTGTACATCAAATGACCTAAAGCTCAGCAGTGATTGACAAAGGACAGGCAGCACACACAGATCAGGCTAAAGTGGCAGTAGCTGTGTGTTAGCACTCTCCTGAATAGGTGACAGTGCTCTTATCAGGTTTCTAGGACAGATATCTGATTCCTCCCCCATTCTTTGGCCCCTCTAGCAGACTCTTGAATGCCAGCAGTCACTAGTAGCACTATTTCAATCATATTTTAGCCATTAGCTAGCCCCTCAGATTAAATAAGATGGTCAGAATTCATTTTAGTCTTATTCATGTGTGGGATACTTACGAAGCTTCGGGAGACGGCAAGACGGTTCTGGCGACGGCCAATGACCGTTCCACTCAGGCTGCGAGCAATACGGCGCAGGTGATCCGCATCATACTGGTCTTCCTCTCCTGACTGAGGCTCTTGATGGGCCACTGACGGGGGCTACAGAGAACAAAGAGTTACTGCAGCAAAAAACAAAGACAGAAAGAAACCAGACAACACCCAAACAAAATCAACATGTGCTAACAGATTGTGCTCTGTATGAAAAACAGGCTCTGAGGTGGAGAGAAACTAGACATAACAAAAAAATAAATAAAATGAAGAGACAGCCATCCCTCATTAAAGAACCAACAAATAATAAACAAACAAACTAAGTAAATAAAACCAAGATTATTTAGATTAATGGTGGATAACATTGATGAGAGCTTAATGGTGAGAGCTTTGTAATCAGACCTAGAGACAGGAGTGCAGCACCACATATCTTACCATGTTCATGTATCCAGTAGGGCTGCAACAACCTGGTGGTCCATAAGCAGTTCTCTCAAGCTCAGCTGTGGGGGTCCGAGAGCGTCCGACTCCAGTGAGCAGCTTTCGTGCAGCCGGAGGTACTGTCCGAGAAAATCAGGTTTGACAATAATGACATTTTTGCAACATATGGTTCAGTTTGTTAACATTAACGTATTAGGCATAATAAACAGAAACATTTTTAAATATTTATATTTATAGACACGTTATTGAGTAGTAGAGTTACAGTGTTCATCTGTCTATCCAAGTTTACATAATGAATATATGCATATTTCGGTGCAAGCATACAACTTCAAGGCTAACTGTAGTCTAATTACTTGCACTGCTCTAACCGGGATTCGAACCAGTGCCAACCAGTATAGTAGCAGACGCTAACAAGAACGCTAAAGACTGCAGCCTCTATTGTGCATCTTGATGCCAGGGGATTCACATGACCATCTTGAAACCATTGCGAAATCTGGGTGGGGAAATCTTTTGCCTTCATGCAAAATTCCTCATTGCATGGATTCCAATTGAAATGACTGGATTTTGCCTGTGAAAAGTGGCCAAACAATGGTAAATGTGACCGCACCTGTAGTCCAGCCAAGACAGAACTTTTAAAGTGCATGTAAACACACTTAGTGTGAGACAATTTAAGATGTTACTTTACCTGGTCTCGCAAGAGCAGGTGAGCTGGTACCACGCAGAGCTTGGCCAGGACCCGGGCCAGCCTGCAGACTGGCCTGGAAAAGTGAGTCCAATTCAGAGAGTTCCTGGTCCTCGGCCTCTGTGGGTTCCAACTCCATGCTCTGGAATTTTGAGTACTTAGCAATGTTCTTCTTCCTGGTGCTCATGGGACTGTGATTAGCAAGGTGTCTTCCAGGTGTGTGTTGAGAGAGGGCAGGTCCTGTCCGCTGGTTCTGTTCAGGAGGTGTGTTGTAGGGGTTGACAACCGCATCTGGACGGTCTAAGCTCCAAGAGGACCAATGACGGGCAGTAACAGGAGGGGTCAATTTGGTGCAGGGCTGGGAAGTTGCACACAGGGTCTGCCATATGGGGGCTCGCCGGGGTACTGGCCCCTTCTCCTCAACAGGGTCGGGTGGTGGACTGGGATTGCTGGATTGGAGTATCCTGTCCGCACTATCTGCAGTGCCCTGCCACAAAGGAGGATTTGGAGATTGAGGGTGCTGACAGCTGGAGACCTCTTCGTCCTCTCCCAATACACCCCAGATGTCAAGGGGCAAAGAGGGTAGAGATATGGCAAGATGCTTGCGTATGGGCATGATCCGAATGCCTGATGCTTGGAGAACATCTGATAATCTGATGCCACCCCATTCGTCCTCATTCTGGGTTGACCAATTGCTGCGTTCATCACGCTCTTGGGGCTGAGGCTGAGAAGAGGCAGGCCGGGGATTAAGCGATGGGCGGCTAGAGGGCTGAGATGGGGAGTTTGTACAAGAGGGTGATTTCATGTGTTGAGGAGAGGGTGGGCCAAGCACAGAACCCTGATTGGTCTCAAAGACCTCTTCCTGATTGTCTGTCAACAATACTTGGACCGGGCCAAGCTGTTCACTGAAGAGGCAAGAAAAGCAAGAGAGGATTTTGGTTAAACACTCCCTGAAAAATGAACATGGTTATCTGAAATTAGTACAGTCCCATTAAACATTATCACTCAATGACTGTAACTAATTTAATTATGGCAAAATTAATTTATTTGATGACATAATTACATGAGTTATTTGGAAAATGGAATTAAATTATTTAACTGAAACAAACCCTGAAAAACTTCAAATTAAAAAACTTAACGAAAACCTATGTTGAATGACATAACTTTGTACCCCTTGATGCTATTATTTCCTTGTGCATATAAATGTGTACTATGCATGTGCTGAAATGTTTTACATTTTTATAGAAAGTCACACATAAAATGCACATATACATTTCAGATATATTTTATACTGCCACAAATATGCAGCATGTACTCATTCATTAAGGCAGACTAAACATAAAATAAGCAAGAAACCTTGAGTTCTAATGGGTCTTTGATCAAATCAACTGGAGTTTTATTTGTAAAACAATACTCATTAATTTCAAAATATTCATTTATTTCAATGTCCAAGCATACTTGAAAAAATGGTTTTGCTGCAAGAAACCCATTCTAACACATTTTCTAACTGAAAAAGTTTACAACGCTGCCAAGGACCAAATTCAAGGAGACCTGTGTCCTTCACACCAGTATTTATGAGCCACTTCTCATACAATGCACACACACATACATACACACACATACACACAGTCCACACTTGCTTTCCACAGCTGACGCACTATGCAACCTTGACATCATTTTCATAGTCGCCATATAAACCAGTTACAGCAGCCATAAATATGCCCAAAAGCTCCCCAGAAGTGGAGTGCACGGGAATGAGAATTGGCTTTGCTCCAGAAGGGAAACCTGCTCACTATCTGCATACATCTCTAATAAAGCAGAGCGGAGTATCCATCAGAATACTATCAATCCTTCATCTCTACTGGCCCTCAGCAACCCACTGATGACCCTTGTGATAGACATTTTCAGATAAATCTTTATCTAATGCCAGTAAAAAGCCTCTGAATGATGCATGCAAACACACAATCCTCAGTGTTTTTATTGCATTGTGCAGTTGATTTAAGTGCACATATGTGTAGGGAACCCTAAATCTGATACTGTTAACATTCCTGCTGTCTAAGAATGAATTTTCAATATATATTAGTATAGGACATTTATGGGTTTTAACTGGGTATGACAAGCTTAAGCATGCTTTAGCAGTCTGGACAACACTTTTATCTTTTAGATTGGTGATATTCCATTTTTATTGTTCTTAGGGACATACATGGTTCTGTCAATAAGGAAAGTTAAGCACCCCTTCATTGTCATTAAACCAGAAATGTGTTCTTAACTAATCATTGTGCATAATCATTTAGATTTTTAAATTGGCCATTATTAAAATGACTCACATTTAACCTAAAAACAATGAATATTGTGGTTTTAAAAAAACTTTTAAATAGCTACAAATTAAACTGAAGTGATTGGAGAAACTATAAAATCTTATATTAAAACAATATAAAGCTGTTATTTAAGGTTGGTTTGATTATCTGAGACATTTGATGGCACTGAAAAAGTAAAGTGCACTGTTGCAGAAATAATAAAATAATAAAATATATATTTTAAAACATTTTATAGGTTTAAAAAAGCAAACTTGAAATCTTTCACAGTGCCCCCAGGAACCTGCTTACAGTAAGTACCTGTCCTGGTTGGAAAGTAGTGGTTTAGAAAAGCAGTACTGTTTAGAAAAGCAGTACTAGGTGATAGGTGGTTCCTAGCGGCTGCTGAATGTTCTAGAGTGGGTATAGAGGCAACTGAAGAGGGGGAAGTTTGGTACAGAGGTAAACATCTCTGATTAATGTGCTAGAGTGCTCATTTACTGTAAATACTTCCTCAAGCACTACATTGGGTAATTACCCAAGGGGCTTTGGCCAGGTCAGGCCATACATCACATCAACGCCTTTAATCGATGGAGGGGAAAGAGAAAGCAGAAAACAAAAAAAAAAAATAAAACAACGCATTCCATGGGGCACACTGCCGCAGTGACCGTTGCATTGTTCTGAAAGGCTACTTTATTAGCAAAGTGGCATGCCATGTGTATGTAATATCGGTGGGCAGCCATTCGATAGCTTGGGTTTGCCAATAACTCAGCCGACTGCACCCCGGCTTCTAATACTTGGTCTAATATGGAATCTATAACACCCGTCCTTTCTATATGTGTGATTTTAAATTGGAAATTAACCTCTAAAAGCTCTGGAAAACACACAACAAAACCCAAAGCAACCATAGCTCTTTGTGAGAGTAAAATGTCAACTTGCATTCTGACAAACCGATCAGTTAGATAATGTCTGAAAGTTAAAAATATATTTTAAGCACAATCACAGAAATATAACAGAAAGACAGAAAGAAAACAGCTTTTTCTCATTACAACTTCACAAAAATCCAGCATAACTAATTTTTTTATAACTTTTTAAAAAAAGAATAGACACAAGGGTTGGCTTTAAGTTCAAATTTTTGACTTTGGTACAATATCAGCCTTGGTGCTTCAGTACTTAGGTAGTGTGACAGATTTGCATGTCATGTAAAATTAAAAATGTACTAATAACTGAAATAAGCATGAAATCTGTTAGGCAAGTTCTATTTTTAAATCAAGCAGTGTCATGGAATTAACAACTAATTAACATATAAAACATATATTAATGTTTTCATAATAAATCTATAATAATATAAATCGATAAATCTTATTAAATCAAAATATTATGGTGCATAAAGGTAATATATCATAACTGAGCAAAATAACAGTTAACATATTTTGTTCAAATGGCTCAAACAAACCCAAACTCCCTCCATTTTTTCCTCAGTCTTGTGTAAATTTGAGATGGTCTCTATAACACAATGGGTATTATTAAACTAACAATACATTATTTTAATTGATTTATACATTTCATAATCAATACATTTCATTTTGATTCTCAGATCATGCATCAATGCGTTTTTATCAATGCAAGGTTATGCATCAACTCTGCTTTCATGTTTCACAAATTACATTTGTATGCTGCTATTGTACTGTTTCCAAACTTTTGGTACCACGGTACTGATTCTACATCGTTATACCACACAACCCTAAAAGACCCAGGGGTCTGAGAGGGTATACATCTGAACAAGCGGTTAAGCTGGACACACAGGGTGACAGTACAGGTACCTGGTGGGCCCCTGTGGGCGGCTGGGTTCCTGCTGCTGCTCTTGCTGTTGCTGCATGCGCTGCTGTAGGCCCCGCGCTCTCCTCATGCATTTTTGCAGCTTGGCGTCAGCAGCCATAGTCCTGCTATGAGTGTTAGCACTGCCCTCATGCATGGAAAATCTTAGTTTAGCTATAACGCAAAAGAACAACAAAAAGGGAAGGAAAGAAGAGCAGAAGAAAAGAAAATGCAGAAAAGAAAAAGGAAGAGCTGAGGTTATGAGGGGCCGGGATGCGGTCCATTTTTTTGTTATAGAAACGACAAAGTAGTGAAGTTGAAAGAAAGAAGAGAGGGTGATGGTGGAATATATCCCACCTTTCACCCCAGAGTGAGCTCTAGGCCATTCAATAGGCGAAGCTTTGCACACTAGTTAATCAAAGTTGTCACATAGTTGACTGCATGTAATGGGTCAATAACAGTAGCTTGCATCAGAAGTGTCATGCCCATTTTTTTTTAAATAACACAAAAAATCAACACTTTTATAATTAAAATCAGGTAGGCAAAAAAAAAAGTGCCAGAAATGATCTGTCTAAACATTTCACGTCTACATTTGTCCAATCCAACTGACTTGCACCTTCCACAGAAAATTGAGTCATCATGTTGCTCCAAAACATTTATTTGTCTTATTTTACTTATCTATTTATTTACTAAAATGATTAAATTATTATTTGTGGTCTTACTTTTTTCTTTAAAATGTTTTTATGTTAACAAAACATAACAAATAATATTAATGTTAATGTTAATAATAATATTAAATAACATATTGTTAATAATATTATTATTAACAAAATAATATTTTGTTTTTATATATTATGTCATTTTATAGTATTTTTTATATTTACATTATTTTAGATTTTTAAAATTATATTTACAGCAAAAACAACAACAATAATGATTTTCTGAGGTAAATAAAGGAGTTATCACAATGTCAAAACCATACAGAAAAAAAGAACATTAAACTATGGATCCAGAATTGCTCAAACAAATAGGTGCATGACACCCCTGAGTTCCATAATTTTCACGTTGCCTTTTTAAAAACACATCGCCTGCTGTTGTGCAGTATTTTGCTTACTGAACAAACCCATTCACAACGAGTGACATAAACAGAGTTCAGAAAGATCATAATATGGAGAAGCACTGGGCTGCTCTGCTGAACGACAAGAGAGAAACCAACGACTGTGATTGAGCTTTTAAGCCCTTGTTCGCAGTGTGTACAAAACAACATGTTGAGATCCATCACACTGATTGACTGTTAATTGCATACCAAAATGAGTTTGCATTAGGAAACAGCTGATTTGGTTGCTCTCCCGTCTGGGGCTGTTACATGGAAAACCGCATGTTGCCATGGTTCCCTTGAACCGTTTCATTTAAGTCTAGTTTAGCACTAATTCTGCCTAAAAAATGCTATTTTCAGAACCTTTACTGCTGTCAACACCAGCTGCGCCTGAGCTAGCTTTAACTGAAGATGACGTGCATCGCTTTCAATGGGTTTTTAAAAAAGCTGACAACATTCTGGAGAGATGCAAAAGGACGACGTTTTAGGACGGCACACCACAGACTGAAGACACAGGAAGCAGGAGCGACAGCCAGGACAGACACACAAACGTAGACACACACAAAACCAATGATGGATTGCAGGGTTGTGGCAGGCGTTGCTTTCATTTGGCCAGAGGAACGGGGAGCTATTCTTTTATATAGTGAAGGCATGACCTTATAGGCTGCCACTGGAACTTAGAGGCCTGTTTGGGCCAAATTGAATCTGTCTCGACGAGACAGTGAAAGGTCTGTGGGGATCTGAAGAGTGGAAATATTTACAAAAGCTGTCTTCCCTTTACATATATTAGTGCTGCGCCTCACATATACAGACATGCACACACATATACACGCATACCGTGAGCAAAGCGAGACAGAGATGGAGGGTTTGCCGACCTGGATAGTGGTTTGTGAATGGTATAAATAGCTTTGTGGAGAGTTTTGTATAGCTGAAATTGTTTTCTGCTCATTAATCATTCAAGCAAGTATGCCAGCGCTTCGGACAAAAAAGCTGTTGTTCCAGGGAAGTGCAAGATATATAGCCACCTTTTTTGTTTTAATTTGGGGAGTGCTGAGAGATTTAGGCAGGATTGTGTGGCAGTGTCCACACATGACGGCTAAGCACAATCACAATCCAATCCTTCCACCAAAAGGGATTTATAGAGGTCGGGAATGTTATGACGGTGAATCTAGAATGGATTTAACTTTGCGTGTGGCTGCTGGTGAGGACCATTCAAATGGTGTTCCTAATGGAGGGCTCACACACAGAATAAAATGTTCAAATAAAAAAAAGGATTAAAATTGTTGCAGCCTCTTTCTGGCAAAGATCAGGGCTCTCAAATAGCCAAAGCTGAGCGCTTTTCAATAGCACGCCACTATCAGCAGTATTAGCAAACAACAGGCAGAGCCACATGCCCAGTCATCCAATCAGATTGTGAAAATCTGTGCAAACGATGACTCTGATCACAGCACCAAGAGAACAGAAACAGGGATGCACTGAATATTAAATTAAAATAAAAAAATATAAACAGTAAAAAATTAATAAATAAATCTTTATTTAATTAAAAATTAATAAAAAATAAAAAGGTAAGAATTAAACAATTCAAAATAAATCAAAATTAAGCTCAATATTATTTTCATGTTATCAATAACTTAAAAAAATAAATTTCATACTATTCTGTCTAAATCATTTAAAAATAAAACACTAGAAGCTAAACTAAAGCTTTAAATACTAAGTTAATTTAGGCATCAAAACATTATAATGTGCAGTATGAAAAATAGATATTCATTTTGAGATTTGTTAAGATTTGTAAGATTACAATTAACAGTATTTTTAAATGACAAAGGTAATCTAAATATAAAAATAAAGGAAAATAGCATGAACAAATAAATATCCAATTTCTATTTAAAAAAAATTAATAAATAAATTTCTAATATCAACCAAAAACCAATGTAGTACTGATATATTGTGCATCCCTAGAAAAAACAAAGACAGGATCATGACAAGTAATATGCCACGCACATAAACGAGGAGAACAAGCACACAGATAGACAAACAGAAGCAAAGACACACACACACAGGGTGCTGCAGGAAGGGAAGGCAGTGCTGGGGTATTACAGGTGGGTTTGTGTCACATTGCGAGGACATTAATGTTTTTGGGAGATGCTTTCTTACCAAACGGACCTAGAAAGGGCATATATTGGGTAAGTGACGGTTACCCAAGCGGACAGTGTAGGAGTTGGGCGTAGCAAGCAGAGGCAGGTTAGAATTACTTACACACAGCGTGGTGGGAGAGCGCCAGGGCTGTAGCTGTATCCCCTGCTTGCTCCAGGCACAGCGACTGCTCTAAGAGAGAGTCAGCCTCCGCCAGGCAGTGCTCAAAACTGCCCCCCTTCCCTGCAATTAACACACCAAGGCCAGGCCTCTGAGAACAAGCTCATACACGCACAAACACTGCTCACAGGAGTCCCCGCGTGTTCCCGGGAACACGCCACTCACAGCTTTTGCATGGCTTACCGGGAATGGAGGCGTCCACTGACACACAAGCGCATACAGTCTAACGACTGCCACCAACACAACTCAAACACAATTAGACATGTTTGTACACACACCATGCACGCAGACTAGGGAAACTCTGATTCAAAATAAAAAAATGTAAGATTCGAGTGTACAGGTGTGTTTTTGATGCTATGGCTCCCATCTACAAGAGTTATATTATAATTCATGGTGTTACAATGATATTTAAATTATTTTTATTTTTTAAAGATCATGAGACATTTCATTAGAGTTGAGAAGACAGGAAAGAGTAAACTTTTACTTCCAAACTATCCCTGCTGGAAAAAAAAGGTTTGAACTAGCCCAAATAGGTTTGCTGGCCTTTGCTGGTTTAAACTGGTTTGCTGGTCTCCCAGTATATGGCCAAGTTGGTTTTAAGTTGGTTTAGCTGATCGGTCGGCCTGATCAGGTCAAAAGTATGTAAACTACCACCCCAGAAGCATTAAAGGGATAATTCACCCAAAAATTATTTATTTACTCACCCTCAAGCCGTCCTAGGTGTATATGACTTTCTTCTTTCAGACAAATACAATCAGTGTTAGGTTAAAATTGTTTATTATCCTGGCTCTTCCAAGCTTTATAATGGCAGTGAATGGGGTTCAAGGTTTTGAAGCCCAAAAAGTACATCCATCCATTATAAAAAGTAGTCCACACAGCTCCAGGGGGGTTAATAAAAGCCTTCTGAAGCGAAGCGAAGCGTTTGTGTAAGAAAAATATCCATATTTAAAACTTTATAAACCGCAATCTCTAGCTTCCGCTAGCTCTCATACTCGCGTTTATGAGAAAGTGGCATTCCAGCGGATGATGTAGGACCCCCCATTCCCCCCTTTCCCCCCATTATAAAGCTTGAAAGAGCCAGGACATTTTTTTTATATAACTCTGATTGTATTCGTCTGAAAGAATAAAGTCATATACACCTAGGATGGCTTGAGAGTAATTCATGGGGTAATTTTCATTTTTGGGTAAACTATCCCTTAAAATCAGACCAGCCTAAACAGCATAGAAAGCCATCAGAAAAAAAGCTATTCAAAAATCTCTAATATCAACCAATAACCAATATGGTACCGATAATAATAACAATTGTGCATCCTTAAAAACAAACCTGAAGTCATCTGCTGGTCTTAGCTGGTCTTAAACTGGTTTGTTGATCTTAAATTGGTCTAGCTGATCTTCCAGCATGGCCAAGCTGGTGTTAATTTGGTTTAGCTGGTTGGTCGGCCAGGTCAGGTGAAAAGTATGTAAAGCCCCCTAGAAGCATCAAATCAGACCAGCTTAAAAAGCTTAGCCAGCCATAAAAAAATCAATGAAAAATGTCTAATATCAATCAATATCCAATATGTTACTGATGTAGTGGGCATCCCTGGAAACCAGCCTAAAGTGGTTTGCTGGTCTCCCAGATGGCCTTAAATTGATCTAGCTGGTCTCCCTGCATAGCCAACCTGGTGTTAAGTTGGTTTAGCTGGTCGGTGAAAACTGGACAAAACCAACAAAATTTAATTTAAATCTGTTAACGCTTTAAAGACATTAAAGTATTTTTTAAGAT